CCCCCCCCCCCTTCTGTGCCTTTGCTCCTTAAGTGTCCCAGGCTTCTAAAATGAGCAAATGAGCCTTGGCTTTTGGAGCTTTTCGGTGTCTGGAGGAAGAGGGTGGGTGGTGACACCCCCACAATTGGGGCTTCCTTCTCCTCTTTCCGCATTTTGAGCCTCGTCCCCCTTGGAGGAGGCTGTGGGGGGCCGTTGCCTTCCGATCCTCTGCGCTGCCGCCTCTTAATTCGCAGTTCGGCAGCCTCAGCTTTGCCAGGGAGCCGGTGGTGGTGGTCGTGCTTTGATTGTTCCACGTTTTCTCCACAGTTATCGCTGTGATGACTTCGTAGTAAACGATACCAAGCTAGGCCTGGTGCAGAAAGTCCGGGAGCATCTACAGAACTTGGAAAAGTAAGCCCCTCTCTTGGTCTGAAGGGGGGTGGGGGCTTCCTTTTCAGCAGCCTCTCCTCGGGAACGGTCTGCGTGCTTCGCCGAGGGATCCAGTTTTCATGGGAGGCCGTCCGGGAGGAGAGTCCTAGGAAGCCTCCCTGAAATGAATGGGGGCAGCGGCTGCTTTCTGGCAGCCGTTCCTCTCTGGGAGCCTCTGCTGGGGGTATCCCCACAGGGAAGGCCGAGCTGAGCTTCTCCTCGGTGGAATAGCCGAGGCTGGGAAAGGGGCCCCAGAAGAGAGGAGCTTTGTGAGGGTCTGGGTGGGGACTTGGGTGGGATGAGTCCTGGTGCTCGAAATGGGCCTTGTGGGAGAAGGGTTAATCTAATATTTTTTAAAAAAAGTTATTTTAGATCAAAGGCTTTAGGTTATTCTTTACTGTGGCCATCAGATTAATGAAGGTATAATCTGATAACTGAAAATAAAACCGGGCTTGAGGTGGTTCTCTAGAAAAGACAGAAATTTGTTTTGAAACTACGAGGATGAATCTCCCTGTGAGTCAAAGGACATTCCAGGTGTAATAGGCCATTGAAAAACATTTCTTTATTACAAAACACATTTAGCCCTCCCTGCCTTAAGTGTTATATATTGTAACTAGCTTTGTTTGTATTGTTCAACATGTCTTAAATCGCCCGTTTATTCTCTTCCACAGCTCAGGTTTTACAGTAGAGCGACATAGGAAAAGAAAACTTGAAAGTGCCTCGGTAAACAGCAAGTTATTAAAAGTAAATGTAAGTGTGGTTTCTTTGTTCTCTCTGCCCTGGACTTTGAAGGAGTAGCTTTGAAGCAAATCTCCTGAATCAGAGAAGATCCTTTCCAAAAAACCATCTTTGGATTTAACATTTAATTGGCCCCCTCCCCCGAGTGAAGTTTCCAGCGTTGGCAGCACTCGGTGCTCAATTTTGAATGCCAGAGGTTCTGAATAATTCACTTCTGGCCAAGTAATGAGTTGCCCTTTAACTCAGCCTAGACGTTACGTGTGGCCTCATCCTAAGTGAAGCCAGGGAGACCCCAACTGTGCAGGGTCCAGGCCTCCATCAGACACACAGCCATCTGGAGCCCATCGCTGGGGGTCCTTCCTACAGTCCCCAGCAGAAGGGCTGGCAGGGTATCCAGTGGGGTGGGGGGTGGAGACATGGGAATGTACTGATGGATTTTGTGTGGTGTCGGGTATGTAACAAACAGTCTAAAGTTTGAATTATCATTTTCTGTGCTCTAAATTCTCTGTGATTGGCCAACATTAATGAAAGACGTAAATATTTTAGAAGTTGGCTAAGGGGTCTGTTTCGTGTCAGGGGGTAACGTCTCTTTAGAAGGAGGTTGAAGGAAACGGGGGGGGGG